GGGCATTAATTGTTGTAACGGAAGAATTGCGCGACAGAAGACCCCAACAGAACACCCCTTCGAGGGGTTCTGTCCGAAGCCAACAGAAACCCTTCGAGGGGTTCTGTCCATAGCCAACAGAACACCCCTTCGAGGGGTTCTGACCGTAGCCAACAGAACACCCCTTCGAGGGGTTCTGACCGTAGCCAACAGAACACCCCTTCGAGGGGTTCTGTTCGTAGCCAACAGAACACCCCTTCGAGGGGTTCTGTCCGCGTAGATTTTTGGACGGCATTCGTGTCCGCAGGTCGCCCGCGCACACGAGTCGCGGTTTTTCTTCTCCGTTTCGGGATTTGATCGGCACCCCCCCTGCGCGTAAGAGAGAGCCTTTCCCTTTAGGAATCTTAACTCCTTAAAAGAGGCTTCCCTTTATAAGGGGGTGAAAATCCCTTGAGTTTTTCGGTGTGGGATAAAACACACTAGAAACTCATCATTTTCCCAGTTTTTCCATTTCAACGAGTGAACTTCGAGAATCAATTTCTCATTCACCCGTTATCCGTTTTGAGTGTAGCACATATCGAATTGTAGCCCTTAACAAGGACAATCCGAAACCACTTTGACCCGACCCAAATCGGAAGTGGACCCCACTCAAATAATTGCCCCAAAATGACCATTTAATGCAATTTTTAACACATTTTTCCAACATAACCAAAAAAATATAAAGAGCTTCAGTATGATGAAAAATCATATCAAGAAACTCTAACATTAAACTAAAACGAGAGTGAATGTTCTCCATCAGGTATAACTGAATCCATAGGATTTCATCAACAATAGACATGTTGTGATTAAGTTGGATTACGTTAAATAGCAGAAACAAAGGCTTGCTGTAAAGATGAAGATAGAGTAAAGTTTGAAGATGGAGATGTTAGAGATTGAATTGAGCTTGATTACAAACTTAGGGCACATATATGGAAATAAAAACACCCAAATCCATGATGTTTCCTATTAATGAAGACGATGAAATTATAACCAAAGAAGATTTTATTTTGACATAGATAAATAGCACCGAGATGAGGGACTCATATTAAAGATAATTTAAGTACTGTGCACCATGAGAATTAATAAGAGAGACTATTATGAATATATTTTATTGTATCCATAAAATATATACTACGTATTTGAGAGTTTATCCTTTTATGATAAACTCTCAAATATATTATGATAAACTCTCAAATATATATCCTCTTTTAAACTGGTTGAATCAAATATGTGTTGATAAACTCTCAAATATAGTACTACTTATAACAACAAGGTGCATCTCCTTTTAAGGAAACTCATGAGCTATGGACTTTAAGTTAAATGTGCTCGCATAGAAGTAGTCTTAGGATGAGTGACCCTCTTAGAAGTTTCTTAGGGCACACATGAGTGGGGAAAAATTCGCGGTAAAAGGCACGTGCTGATTTGTGAGGATATTATTGGTCGCGGGTGTGGATGGAATTTAGGAGTAACTACATCGGGCCTTGCAGGGTGTGTTATAAGTGGTATCAGAGCAACCATTTAACAAGTGTGTTGATCCGGTGGAATTGGATGGGCACTTAGTATGAGAGAGTTCTGGGGTTTGATTGAGATTGTGAGAAGCAACTATTTGACAGTTACGCCTACAAGATGACAGTAAATATTGTCTTGTTAGTCTCATTTCGGGAATAAAAACATAGTAATCCTATTTTGGAATTTCAAACTTCGTTTACTCCTATTTTGGGACATCTCCCTTTGAATTAATATAGTTTGGTCATTTCATTTAAAAAAACTTAAATATTATATTGATAATAGTGATATAATCCTTCTGCCTATTGGACTCAAATTTATTGAATAGAAATTGGGAGACTTTGGATGAATAAATTTATTAGTCCGTTTATGTCTGGTCTGATCTGGATTGGTTTGTTCTGATTCAGTAAATGTTTGGTCTTTTTGTATTTTATAACTGTCAAAGTCTACTTTGGTCTAGTATAGTCGTTAAAGTTTGATCTGTTTAAGTGTCATTTGTTTTAATTTGGTCTAAAACTGAAATCAGTTCAAGTAAAAATAACCTTATATGTGATCAATTTGGGGGATATTTTAATTTGTGATGTAAATTTTCCTTCAAAATTCATGAATAGTTATTTGAATGTACAATTTCAATTTGGGAGTTATTTTTATGTTTGTTAGAAAATCTTTTTAGAAAAAAATCCACTAATGCTACTCCTGAAAAAAGTGGTAAGAAAATGCGACCTAGTAACTTTTGATGATTATAATCATGTTCATAGTTACTATGATGTAAGCTTTAAACATAATTGTAGTCATTAAAAGTTACTAAATCACATTTATGTCCATGACTTTTTTATGAAATAATGACCAAAATAGGAAAATTTGAAAATAATAATCCAAACTATTACCAGTCCGCCATTAATAATCCCAACTATCGATTATTCATGGGTGGTCTCAACTATAGGGACCATTTTCCGAAAATGGTCCCTAACCTATTACAACCTGGTGTAGCAGGTCATTTTTAAATGTGAACTACGTGTAAACTTTAAATAATCCCAACTATAGTTGACCTTTTTTTATTAATCCTAACTATCAACTCTCATTTTTTGTGAAAATGTAAAAATAATTTTAAAAATTTGCAAACTAAATATTTTTAAGTATGAAATATTAATTACGAATACTCTACAAATGTACCGAAATTAGATAAAACAAATTAGTCATTTTTTTTATTTTCACTAGAATTTCATTTTGTCCTTTTTCCAATTTGTTTGTAACAATTATGTTACCAATTTATGATTTAGTATTATTTTCTTTTATTTAAATTTACATTTTCTAATTTCAAAAGGTCAATTTTGATTATTTTTTTACAATTTAGATCTTTATTCTAGCTTAAACTTAAAATCTAAAATTTTGTTTATTCCATTTTAGTGTTTGTAATTTCTACCAATGTAAAAAAAGTGAATAGCTTGAAACGACGATAAAAAAATGTTTACCAAAAGTCCGCACTTCTTCTACCTACCAAAGTAGTTGAGATTATTATTACCATTTTGATACACTTTCACTACATGTTTACAATTTCCATTATATCACTTAAAATTATAATATTAATACATTTTCATTCAATATAGTCAAAACCTCCAAAACCTATACCCCAAATCACTAAAATTAAATAATAAACTATAGAATATAATACTATAAAATAAAGAAAATAGAAAGAAACTAGAAATACTAAAACGGAAAAATAGAAAATTTAGGTTTTTAGAATTAAAATAGCATAAAATAAATCAATAAAATTTTAATCATTATTTACTTTTTGAAACCAGTGTAATTTTGAATAAAGGAAAATAATACAAAATAATAAATTAGTAACTCAAGTGGGGAAAAAAACTGGAAAAAATGAAAAACAAATAGTGGAAATAAATCAAAAAATGACTAAAAATATTTTATTTAACTTTGGTACATTTGTATAATTTTTGTAATTGTTTGTACATATCTAAAAATATTTAGTTTGGAAATTTATAAAAATATTTTTACATTTTCAAAAAAGTGATAGTTGATAGTTGTGATTAATAAAAAAAGGTCAACTATAATTGGGATTATTGAAAGCTTACAAATAATTCACATTTAAAAATGACCTGCTACATCAAGTTGTAATAGGTTAGAGACCATTTTTTGGAAAATGGTCCTATAACTAAGATTATTATATTCGATTTTTCTACAAAAATATTACGTACGCTTCCATTAAAATTTACGATAATTACAAAAGAAAAGGTCCAGCCGTTACCCTTCTGTGCGCCTTCTCTTCGCCCACATCGTTCGAAGAGATGTATCTTTCACCATGCTCCGAACAGACGCAACAGACCTCCCACGCGCGAGCAGCAATTCATCACCGCCTCCGCTCCTCTGACGTCGCCGTTACAATCGTCCTTGCCCTCATGTCGATAACAGAGCAGAGCAATGGTGGTCTTCGCGGTGGCCGTCGTCCCTGGCCCTCCGCGGCTTCCTACTCCGCTTCTTTTTCATCTCTTTCTGTCTGGCGTCGCTTTTGAGAACGTTATACCAGATCTGCGATGGTGGTGGGCGGCAGGGGAGTGGCAGGGCGAGGATTGTGGTCAAGGTCAGATATGGATCTGGATCCACGACGGCGGCGAATGTGGGAGGGTTGTGGGGTCGCGTTGGGCATCGATGGGGGCTGGTTGGAACTCGTTTGGCAGTGACAGGGCTGGAGGTAAGCATGATTCGGTTCTGCCGGTGGCTGGCGGCGTCATCCACCGAAGGTGATGGTGTCTGCGGCGGTGCAGTGATGGTGTGTGGGTTGGGACAGTGACGGGGATGGGGTGATGGTGCAGGGTGGCCACTGAAGGACGGGTTTGGTCAATGGAGGCGGTGCTCTGGCGGTGGAGGTGCTCTGGCCGTGGTGCCGAAAAATTTGGTTGTAATTTATATTTTGCCAAAAAAGTAGCTAGAAAAAATTTCCAAGGATCACAGTGACACCAGCGGCGACACAGTGACACCGATGACGGTGTTAGTGACATTGCCGCCGACGTCAATGACGTTGTCGATGACCAAGGTGACATTGACGATGACAATAGTGAAGTTGGCCGTGGCTTCAATGACATTGACGGTGGCCACAGTGACATATATAATCTGATAGTGACATCCCACAATGACATTAAAATATTGCAGTGACAACAATTTGTAACATTTTTGTCCTAATTTAAATGGGGAACATTCCTGAAATAGGAGTAAAAAAGTGTGAAAATTCTAAAATAGAATTGCATGTTTTTATTCCCAAAATATGAATAATTACTGCCAAGTTTGGAAAATATTGTTATGTTTAAAGTCAGTGCTCCCAAAACATGACAGTAATTAGTCATATTTTGGGAATAAAAATATGATAATCCTGTTTTGGAATATACAAACATTTTTAGTCTATTTTGGGTAATTTCTAATTTAAATGTGGTCACTTTTTTAAAATTAGCTTTAGTTAAGTAATATCCATGTAAAAAACCCCTTTTTTATTAATAATATTTTGAGAAAAATATTACTCTCTCTGATTCTTAATTAACTTTACACTTTCCTTTTTGGGTCGTCCCATATTAAACTTTACACTTCCTTAATTGTCTTATTTGGCAAACAAATCTACACCAAACAGTGCAAAACAGTGTCAAACAGTGTACTCTACAGTAAAGTCAAATTTATTTCCTTAATATGTGTCAGGCCCGGCCCAGCCCAGGTGCAACTGGAGCAGCTGCACAGGGCCTCCAATTTTGGAGGGCCCCCAAATTTTTTAAGTGTAGTAGTATACCTAGGCTAGGCCCATTAGTAAAGAGTAATAACTAATAATTCGAAAAAAGGCCTGATCCAATAAAAACAAAAAAGCCGTCCGCCTCTTTACTTCCCTAACGAGTAACGACGTACCGCGGAATGGCTAAATGCCTAAATCGAAGCGACGAACGGACGAAGACCAAGAAGACTGGGAATCTGCGATTGAGAGAAATCGAAGCGGCGAAACTACTAAAACGTCGGAGAGGTATGAAATTTAATCAATTTATTGTTTTTACCGTTAGATTTTAATCTTAAATACCTTCCATTCTTCTCAAGTTGAGCAAATCGCCTAGCAGACTAATGGACGGAAGCCATCTGCGAAACCCAGAACCTGCGTATACTCGCAGATGAAAGCAGCCGAGTGAGGACTTGAGGCCGAGTTGAGGGTGGGGCGGTGCCGACTGCCGCGGTGGGCATTGGCAGTTTGGGCGTTTGGCACACAATCTGTTTGGACTGTTTCAGGACTTCAATTCAATCTTCAGGTGTTTTTGTTCCCATAATCCCATTCACATTTCCTAGTTCATACTTTGTAATTGTTAATTTGGAATTTTGGATTCATCTACATCTTATAATTTATAAATTAGAATTTAATAAATTGATGTTTGAAAATGGCTCCAAGAGTTAGAAAATATGAATCCGGATATGAAAAACGAATGAAGAAAAAAAAAACAGATGAGTTTATTTTATCTCAAAAAGGAGCTTTAGAAAATTTTGTTACAAGAGAACCACAAAGTGTTTTTGCGAATAAAAATACTTGTGCTAGCGGTGGTGTTGATGTTGATGATATTGTTGGTGCAACTGATAATGATGTTGATGTTGATGATTGTGTTGGTGCAACTGTTAATGTTGTTGATGATGATCTTGGTGCAACTGCTAATGATAATGTTGATGGCATTGTTAATTCTAGTTGTGAATTTGATGATAATGTTGTTGCTAATGATGTTTTTGAAAGTATTGATATATTTGATCCAAGAAATTGGGATGTTCTTGATTGTAACATGATTAATAATTTAGTTGAAAAGGGTCCAATTAGAGATTTATCTATCACTAAGGGTCCTAAAGATCAATCATCAAGAAGGTTTTCATCTGCATTTTACACTAGAATTTTATCAAATAGAGAGAAGTGTGATAGAGAATGGTTAGTTTATTCAAAGGAAATTGATAAAGTTTTTTGTTTTTGCTGTAAAATATTTAAAAAAGGGATTGGTAGAAATCAATTAGCGAATGAGAGATTTGGAGATTGGACACATGTTACCACTAGGCTTAGAGAACATGAATGTAGTGCTGAACATCTTAAAAATATGACTACATGGTATGATTTGCGTTAAGATTGCAGAAAAATCAAACGATTGATAAAACTTCTCAAAAACTTTTTGAAAAAGAAAAAGAGCATTGGAGAAAGATGTTGTTGAGAATTGTTTCGGTGGTGAAATTTCTTGCTAAACATAATCTTGCATTTCGTGGTACGAATGAGAAGTTGTATCAAAACAGTAATGGAAATTTTTTGGGCTTAATTGAGATGTTGGCAGAGTTTGACCCTGTTGTTCAAGAACATGTTCAACGTATTAAAAATGATGAAATTCATTATCATTATCTAGGGCATAGGATCCAAAACGAGTTAATACTCTTGCTTGGTTCTCAAATTAAATATGTAATTATTGAAAAAATCAAACAAGCAAAATACTTTTCTGTGATACTTGATTGTACCCCTGATATAAGTCATCAAGAACAAATGTCTTTAATATTGAGATATGTGGATGTCTCGTCAAACTCAGTTTGCATTGAGGAATCATTTTTAGGGTTTTTGAATGTTAATGATACGACTGGTCAAGGCCTTTTTGATGTTATGCAAAAAGAATTGGTCTCTCTTGATCTTGAGCTTGATAACGTAAGAGGACAGGGATACGATAATGAGTTTAATATGAAAGGAAAACATCAAGGAGTGCAAAAAAAATTGTTGGATTTAAATCCTAGAGCTTTTTATACTCCTTGTGATTGTCATAGCCTTAATTTGACTTTATGTGACATGGCTAATACTTGTGGTAAAGCTAAGGATTTTTTTGGAGTTATTCAACGTATGTATACAATTTTTGCAAATTCCACTAAAAGATGGCAAATTTTGAAAGAAAATGTAAAGGGATTAACTCTTAAATCATTGTCATCTACTCGTTGGGAGAGCCGTGCTGATAGTGTTAAAGCTATAAGATTTCAGGTTTTAGAATTACGAGAAGCTTTACTTGAGGTAGCAGAAATCGATAATGATTCCAAAATTAGGAGCGAAGCAAAATCTTTAGCAGAAAATGATCTTGGTAATTTTGAATTCATTGTGGCAGTAGTTATTTGGTATGAAATTTTATATGTTGTTAATTTAGTTAGCAAGGATTTGCAAAAAATTGACATGCTTCTTGATGTTGCTATTGAAAAATTAAAGGGGTTGATTTCGTATTTTGAAAACTATAGAGAAACTGGTTTCTCAAGTGCCTTAGAAATTGCATCGAACATTTGTATTGAATTAAACATTGCCGCGGTATTTCCTCAAAAGCGGCAAATTCGAAGAAAAAGGCAATTTGATGAGAATGCAGATGATGAGTGTTCTAGTGTTTCCCAATCTGCACAAGAGTCGTTTAGAGTTAATTATTTCTTATGCATTGTTGATCAAACAATAACATCACTTACCACAAGATTTGAACAATATCAACAATATGAGAATATTTTTGGGTTTTTATTTACCTCCGAAAGGTTGCGTTTATTAGATGATAACAATTTGAAATCTTGTTGTAGTTGTCTTGAAGCATCACTTAAAAAGGATGAACAATCAGATATTGATGGAAATGATTTATATGTAGAATTAAAGTTACTTAAAGACTTTTTGCCAATGGAGAATATGGGGCCTGTTGATATCTTGAAATTTTTAAAACGTCTTGATTGCTTTCCTAATGCGGTTATTGCATATAGAGTTCTGTTGACTATTCCCATTACTGTTGCAACTGCAGAGCGAAGCTTTTCAAAATTGAAGGCGTTAAAGACTTACATGCGGTCAACAATGACACAATAAAGACTTAATGGATTGGCTTTAGTGGCAATTGAGAGCGACATATTGGAGAAGATTGCATATGAAGACCTTATCGATGACTTTATTTCAAAGAATCTTAGAAGGATATCATTATTTAAATAAATGTAGTTCAATTTCAAAATATTGGATGTGATTTTGATGCTCTTGATGTATTAGTCAAAGAAGAATTGCATCTTAGTATGTAGTATAATTATAAAATATGATATTACTTTTTTATTTTATTATTAGTATTTTTTGTATTAAATATTAGGGCCTCCGATTTTTCTTTTGAACAGGGCCTCTCATTTGTCAGGACCGGGCCTGTATGTGTGAAGTCAAACTGTAAAATTTAATAAGGATCGGAGGGAGTATCTTTTTAATAATCCTTTAATATATATTGATTGTATTTACTTTAGAAAAATCTATTTATTATCTCATGGGGGATGGTATCCAATGCATTTTCGAATTAGAGTCTATCATTAAAAAAGGCCAGTCAGGGTGATATAAAATGTTATTTCCAAATTAGAGTTCTACTAGTGTAACATCCGGGGCATGCCCCAGTAATGTTAATTTGACATGAGTCAGGTGAAATAAACATTGTAAACTATTCATAGGATATGATCAAAATTTTGGTGATTGCTTTTATGAACTGATCACCACCATGGAATATGGATGAAGAATTACCATCTTTTGGAGTACTAATTTGTGGTTATATTTTGGTTTATGTGCTTATTGTTGTAAAAGTTATTAATTATAGGACTAACCACCACCATGAATACTCCACTAATTATATGGCTACTTATATGATAAGGAGTGATAAGAAGAAGCGTTGAATTGGAATTGGGAATATCTATAGTTTATAATTTACATTATTTTGGATATTCACATGTATTATTGATATTGTACAATTAGAGTCCCGTCCACATGAATTAAAGTTTCATTATTTTAAAAAATTGAAATATTTCAAAATTGAGCGTACATTATTATGTGAACTATTTATGAGTGCTGCCTCTAACACTCATCCACGTGAATTAAAGTTCCCTAAATATTTCAATGTGTGGAGTCTACATAATGTTAAATGTTAGTTATTTAACGTTTTCTGCCTACCTTTTTTTCCTTGTCCATTATAGTTGATTCATCTCATTTTTGTCTGGAACTAATTAAATGTTTTCATAATAAAGATGATAGAGTTTTTGTTGACCAATAACCGAGTGACATATATGTTAGCAGTTTGAAATCATGTTTTATTAAATAAAATAATAAATTTAAATATTTAATTATAATTGGATTACTTATATGTGCCACGACTATTGTGTAAATGTGCATTTCCCATAAAGCACACTTACTCAAAATTTACTATAGATATTATATATCATTGATTTATAGCTCAATTATTACAATAGTTTGTATATATATGTAATTTAGTGTCACATGAAAGATCATAAAATTTTACTATTTTATATATATATATATGTGTGTGTGTGTGTGTGTGTGTGTGTGTGTGTTTTGTTAAATTTGGAGTGATGCACTGATTGAGTTGATTAGATTAAAATGAATAGCAGTGATGCACCGAGTGAATAGCAGTGATACACGGAGTGAATAGCAGTAATGCACTGAGTGCACTTAGATTAATTAAATGATTTAGTAATGGTGATAATGAAATTTTTATTAACCAATATAAGACTCACACATCATTGATTCAAAATTCAGTTTTTTGTATTTTTATATATGCACTATTGGTTTAATATGAAAGATTATGAATTTTGATACATTTCTTATAAAAATTGGAGTACAAAAAAAGAAGAAAAAATCTCCTCTCCTTTCTCTAAATAAGTTGACGTGATTAAAGTGAATTAATGATGCATCGAGTAAATAAAAGTGAAGCACCAAGTGAACATGAATTAATTAAATGTTAGAGTTGTAGTGATAACAAAATTTATTAACTAATAAGAAACAGACACATTACTGATTTATAACTACTTCCTCTGTCCCGTTGGAATGTTCCCGCTTTCCTTTTTTGGATGTCCCGTTGGAAAGTTCCTATTTCCCTAAATGGAAAGTTATCCTACATCAAAACAGGGTCAAACAGTGCAAAACAGTGTCAAACAGTGTCGAAACAGTGCCAAATAGTGTCGAAACAGTGTCAAAACAGTAAAATTAACCCCCTGATAAGTTTATTTCCTTAATATGTGTGTAGGTCAAACCGGAAACATTCCAACGGGACGGAGGGAGTACATTTTATTATATAAAATAATATATTTTTATTTTTATATATGCAATATTGATGGCATAAGAAAGATCAATGAGTTTTGATATAACTTTCGCAAAGATTGGAGTACAAATAAAAAGTTATAGCACGTTAAAAAATATTTTCTCCTTCACTTTCTCCAAATGAGTTGGCGTGATTAATAAGAATAGCACTTATGCACAAAATGAATAACACAGATACACCGAGTGATCTTGGATTAATTAAATGTTTTAGTAGTCATGATTATAAATCTTTTAATAACCAATAAGAGACTAACACCTCATTGATTTTTAACCCAAATGTACTGTATATAATAATGTTTTTATTTTTATATGTGCAATATTGGTGTCATTTGAAATATAATAGAATGTTATAAATTTTGATGTATTTTTTGTAAAAATTAGAGTACAAATAAATAAGTTTTAATACATCTAAAAAAGTTTTTTTTTCTCCTTCATTTTCTTCAAATGAGCAGTGATACATGTACTGAATAGTAATGATGAACCGAGTCAACTTATATGAATTAAATGTTTTAGTAGTAGTGATAATAGAATTTTTATGAATCAATAGAATTTTTAACTCGGAGTTGCTATATAAAATACTACCTTCATCCCATTCAAAAGTTCCCATCCACTATTATCCGGTAAACATAAAGTCTTCTTAATTTATTACTTTATATATTCAATTTTTATCAAATTTGAGTTTATCTTTTGCGACTTTATAAAACTTTTGATGTAGTCTCTCGATATGTAAATTTTATTTACTAAAAAGAATCTAATTACGGATAAGATCAATTAACTTTATGGTCAGTTATATATCGTAAACCGTGTGGAACCTTTATACGGGACGTAGAGATATATATTTTTATTTATGTGTGTGTGTGTGTATACTCTCCGTCCCTTAAAACTTTGTCATCTTTCCCTTTTGGGACGTCCCAAAAAACTTTGTCACTTTCCGTTTTAATCAATTATTTTGTGGTATCTGTTATTTCTCTCTCATCTGCTCAAACATTAACCACACAGTTTTTACTTTATTATTCTCCGTGCCGGTCAACTTTGGCAAAGTTTTAAGGGACGGAGGTAGTATAATATTGGTGTCATATGAAAGATAATAAAAGGTTATGAATTTTGATATAGTTTTTGTAAAAATCGAATTATAAATATAAAAGTTATATCACTTTAAAAGGAGAGATTATTTCTCCTTTTTTTGCTCCAAATCGGTTGTGATGTAGGGAGTTTTTTTTTTTAAATTGCCGTGTGATGTAGTCATGTAGGGAGTTAATTAATTGTTTTAATTGTTGTGATAATAGAATTTGCTTTATCCAATAGGAAGCTGACACATCATTAGTTTTTAACTCAACTTTACAATATAAAACTATAGATTAGACTTAAACTAGTGTAACACCCGGGGCATGCCCCGGTAGTGACACTTTGATAAGTACTACCTCCGTCCCATTTTATGTGTCTCACTTTGATGATTTTAACTGTGTGATCTACTTTTGTTTTGATTTGGGAAGTAACCTCCAAATTTAAAGAAATTTCTTTATGGACTTTATCTATTTTTGTTTTTATTTAGGAAGTAACCTTCGCGTTACAAATAAATTGGAAGTGATAGTTTTTGAGATTCTTGTAACTCTCCAAAACACTTCAAATGATCAAATTTTCAATTCTCTCAAATTGAGAGGTTTTGAAGGATCACAAATTAAAAGATAATTTTAGTTGAACTCAAAATGATTGTAAATTCAAATATTATACATTTTAAAGAATTTTAATTATAATTTCTCTGTAACCTCCCCTCTCATCTCAAACTCCAAACATACACTTAAATGTCTTTCATACAAAAAATCAAGTAGAAACAAAATACAATGTTCAAAATAGTTATTATCTAAACAATAAAAAATACGTAGTATATGAAATTGGCAATTCTATCCTGAAAATATAAGTCAAGTATATATCGTTTTATATTATTAAAGTAAGTTATAACATAACACTGAAAATAACTGAATTGACTAAACTGAAGTGATATAAAAAAACGTTTGGTAATATTGAAATTAGCAGAATTGCCCGAATATGCTGAAATTGATGAAATTCAAATTGTATTGGTTGAATATCTTGAATTGTGAAAAAATTAAATTCAAAATGTATTTTATCAGAGAAACAAAGATAAAATTATAAAATAATTATAAAATTATGACTAAAATAAAGAGTGTACATATATATAATATGACATCTTAAGTGGAGTGACTATAGTAGTCATTTAGTCGTAAAAACTTATGTTCAAGTTTTACACTTAAGTGACTATGACATTACACTTATAGTAGCTTTTATCATATTACTTTAAATAGGTCTTATTTTAGTACTCCCTCCGTACCACTTTAGTCGTCCCGTTTGTTTTTCACGGAGTTTAAGATAATTATTGTAGACTTTATAAAAAGCAAGAAAATTTTGGCAATGTAACGGTATTGTATTTGCCTTTTGAGTGAGTTTCTTTACAAAAAGAAAAATGAAACAATTAATTTGATACATCAAAAAAGGAAAGTGAGACAACTAAAGTGATACAGAGGGAGTAATATTTTCCAAAAAACTCTAAAATTGTATGAAAGTGTAGCTAAAATAGTTAGGGGTTATTCCTTGAATATTACTAAATTAAGTCTGATTTCCTAAAATGTGACCTCTTTTACATTTAGACAAAAATGTGACTAAAAAAGTCATATTCATGTCATTACCATATTTTAATGTCACTGATCAAATTTAATGTCACTATCGAATATCACTATCACAACCATCGATGTCACTGTGACTACCGCGTACCGCCCGTGTCACTGGGCCACCGCCCGTGTCACTATTGCCACCATCCGTGTCACTATTGCATCCCGTTGTGTCACTGTCTCCACAATCTGTGTCACTGCCGCCATGAAACGTGTCATTGTGATCGCCGGATATTATTGCGGCGACTTTTTCCAACAAAACAGTGCACATCCCACACCGCGGCCACTCTACCTGCACCACTATCCCACTGCTACCTCCATCTCCAGTAGACTGCCCTCTCCGATCCTCACGCCCCAGCATCTCAAAACAAGTGACTGCCATCTCACCCAGTGCCTACCGCCGCCGCCGCCCGACACATACGCCCTCCCCACCGCCCTCCCCTACACAGTCGCAGCCACCACTTCATCCTGCCACCGCCACCGTCCAATGACCAACCCCACTGCCATACCCAACAACCAGCATCAGCTACTGCCAACCACTGCCCACCCCAACTTGACTTCTCAGCCCCCAGCCCCTCCACGATCCAAGCCCCCTCTCGAGCCCGCCTACACTTCCCCAGCCCCTCGCAGCCCCGCCCCCTCAGCCCCCAACTCCGACCAGCTGGCCCTGCTCCGACCAACCCAACCCTACCCCTGATTCACTTCTCCCCAACCCAGCCCAGCCCAGCCCCGACCTTGTCCGCCATTCCCCCTTCTCCAGCCCCAACCTCTGCCGCCAAGCTATCACTAGCCGCCGTCCCTGTAGCTCGGCTATTTCACGCAGCTGCACAGCAGAACCCTATCTGTATGACATCATCGATGGTGATCCAGATCTGACCGTCGTCGATGAACCCTGGCCACAGGCCACTGTAGCCATTGTCACAAATCTGACGATCGTCGCCCATCATCCTCGGCCAGAGAAAGGTGAAGAAGTAGAGTACAGGCCTGGAGGAGACGGTGGAGATGGCGCGGCATCGCTGCGATGCATACCACGGCGGCGTGGATTCGCTGCGATGCGGTCATGAACGGGGAAGTGGAATGATGGCGGCGATAAAGTCGTGAACTGCGTTTTGGTCAGCGGCGGAGGCAGTGTGGATTGGGCGGTGGCGAAGTCTCAAGGTCAGCGGCAGCGGCATCGTGGATTGGGCGGCTGTGAATCTGGAGTTGTGGAGCTCCATGGTTTTTGAGGAGATACGAAGGGGATTTTGAAAGAAGTCGACGGATCAGGCTTTTTATATTTAAATGCTCACTTTTATGTCCAAGTAAAAAGCACTCATATTTTTGTCCATCCAAACATCACAAGTAATATTAGTGTCATTGTTTCAAATAGTTATCTTCAGCAATTCCAGCCAAAATCGGCTGAATCGGCCAGAAAAGTAACTCTAGAGTTCGTTCGGTAATACCAAAATCGACTGATTCTGCTGAAACTTGAAGTTCTGATTAAAGCGGCTGGATTAACTGATTCTGCTTATTTATGTAAAAATTATATTTTAAATATATTTTATTAATAAAATAAAATAAACTTATATGAAAAAATAGCTAAGTTATCCTATCCAGTAACTTCAACAAATACAACCACAAATGTAACTATAATCTGGCTTTTTCTTATTATTACATAATTCAACGTGCGATATCATAAATTACGTATTTGGTGAAAAATTTGGCTGGTGAGCTTGATATGCCAAAAAACATGGTTGCAAACGGGCTTCTAATCTTACTTATTTTGATTCTTACATAATACAATTCGCGAAAAAAAATCATGTGTTTGGTATAGAAATTGGCAGATAAGGTTGATAAGATAGAGGTTAATTTACCAATAAGCTTTTTATTTATGTATTATTTGGTATGAAAGGAAGAAGCTATAGAAACGAACAGAAATTACATGATTAAGAGACTATTTGGTGACTATTTCTCGACTTATCAATCTTCTCAGCCAACTTTAATCTTTCACCAAGCATGTAATTTTTGAATTCTTCCGGTGAAATATGTAATAATAAAAATAAGTAAGGTTGAAGTTTTTTCTAACTAAATGAGATGAGGTTACTGTAGAGGACCATTTTAGCTATTTTCATATATTTTTTCGTTATTTTATTATTGTATTTTAAATTTAATTTTTCATAAAATTATCATAATCAGTCAATCTATTCACTTCAACCCCTTTCATAAATTTCAGTAGAATCTACTAACTCAATAAATTTCAGTGTTATCAAACGAATTCTAAGAGGAGATTATGGGAAAAAATTAATAAGTGGGTGAAGTTTTAGACCCGTATGGTTAGTCTTGTATAATATGCATGCATATCATTGATTGTTTTTCTTTTTTGAAAGCTCTGATTTTTTACTACGTATTAAAGAATTAAAAGTATTGTATGAATTAATATTAGTACTTTAGTAGTATTCGGTGGGTTTTTTGGATTGTAGTACCACTTGTTATATCGTGGGAGCAGCCCACGGTGAACACGCTGCTCCCACACCCAAAATACGTGTGTACTGCCCACGGATATTTTATTTTGTTCTTTTTTCTTATCTTAGTAGCAGGGCGATGTAACTCACGTGCAAAGAAATGTAACTCACCTTGATAAAAAATGTAATTGGAGGCAAGTTGAAATGTAACTAATCTAATATGAAGTATAAGAAATAAAACATTGATTTCAATGTAAAAAATGAAAACAAAGAGTCTAATTGCTCAATTACTTTACATAAATATTGATTATGTTTTGTTTTTAATATTGAACCATAAAAATGTTTTTAAAAAATCATTTTTTTGGCCATAAAATTCAATTTTAGCCAAAAAACTATCATGTTTTTTGCAAAAAAAAATGTTTTTTATTTGTTTCACTAACAAGGGCTTATTTTCTAATGTAACTCATGTGATGGAAAATGTAAATCGCATTGATGGAAATCTAACTTACATATATGGAAAATATAATTTGTTGACGCAAGTTCAAATGTAACTCGTGCATAGGAAGATGTAACTCACATATAATTAAAAAGATGCAACTCGCGCACAAGAAGATGTAACTCGATATACTATCAGGTGTAACTCCAGAAATTGTCTATAAACATCACTCACACATGTGAAACATGTAATCTCACGTTTTATCAAATTGAAATAAATAGTTAACGTCTTAAAACACTAAAAATGTACTTGTATAAGAGAAGATTTTTTTCAAAGAGATAAGAAGTACATTATAGAATGAATATGAAAATGTAACTTCATATACTATCAAATTTCAGAAATTATCAATAAACATAACTCACACATGTAGAAATATAAATCACACATATGAAAATGTAATCTCGTATTTTATCAAATGTAAATCAAAATAACCAAATTTAACGTCTTAAAAACACTAAAAACATATAAGAAAGATAATAAATATATTACAGGAAAAAGTGTGAATATGAAAAGAAAAATTACAAATAAGTGTATAGATATAAAAAAATTGAAGAAAAAATAATTAATATTTGTTTATAATTTTAGTTGAATAATAAAAAAAGAAAAAAGTGTATCAATAAGGAGCAAGAGAGAAAGAAAAAGTAATTAATTTATTTTGAAAGGATGTAAGATTGATCACAAAACTGTACGTAGTAATACGTAGTGTTTTTTTGAGAGATTCCAGTGTTCTTAAATTAAAAATATCATTTGAAAATTGACATCTTTTGATGATGAAAGAATTAAAAGTAAAAGAAAAGAAAAAGAGAAGAAACGTAAGTGGGAGAGTGGGAATGTGCGGCTGGAGCAGTGGCCATCGAGCAAGTAGCCGGTTCGTTTGTGATAAAAATGGTACTGTATTTGAGATCGGTATACCATGTGTATGGTATACCGATCCCACAGTATAATTTGCCTTGTAGTACGCAGTGATTAATTAAAGAGTCTAACAATTATGGCAATTAACTAGCATGTTAGTTGCTATTGAAGAGTCCCAAAACAAATGAGTTACGTTGTATTAATTGATTAATTAAATGTTATAAAAGTTTTGTTAAATACTATCATGAAGTAATATATTTGTTAACGAATTAGAGAATGACATGTAAGCATTTTATAACTCAGTTTTACTATATAACACAATAGATTGAATGGACACCCTTTTCAAATTAGAGTCCAAATTAGAGTCCTACTATTGTATGTGTCCTTACAATTAGTTAAGGATAAGATGTCGGGCAAAAGTATGAATTAATTGAAATTATTTAAATGTTTTTTAAATAGTGATAACTAATGTTTTTGTTAATCAATAGATTTATAAATGTGGTTTACTTATATACTAGTTTTGTGTCTGGGCGTTGCCACGGGTGCAACTCTCGTATGAAAGATTTAGTTTATATGTACGGAGTATAATTTATCTTTAGTTATCTTTTATTATAATAAAGAGTTTAGGATCCATAATACATTAGAATGACTAAAGGACATTAAAAAATTGAAAGACTGCATTTCTAAATTCTTGAAAACCTCTCTATAGACACATTATTTACCGTATTTTGGAAAATCCGTGATCTTTAGAGCGAATCAAAATCTTCAACCCATCTTTGCTTTGACCCTTGATTTGGCAACATACAATTTGGCCGTGAGTGAAGACATTTTTTCTCGAGATATAGTCTGATATGAGACAAAGAGTGACATTGGCTCTTGTTGATGCTCATCGCAAAGCATTCCATAACAGAGGATTGCTTCCTATGAAAATTAAAAGGAAATGTTACGTCAAGTAGAGATAATGATACTTTGGGAATGTGAACAGTGCCCCGCATATCACATTTCTTCCGGTGATGACCTTTGCATCTAGCACATGTTTTTCCAAGCTTGGTGAGAATTAACATGGTTCTAGCTATTACATAATCCCGCCGACTCGTCTATATTTCTCAACAGCATAATGGGAGCACCAACATTTAGGATGTTTTCTTTTGGATTGTTTTCAGTCCCAGATCAGACCAGACTTCCGTAATTTTAAAATACTCAGAAATCAGATATTTACCAGACCAGACCAGCTCAGCAAATTTCAGTCCAAAAGAAAAGATCCTTAGATGCAATTTGTGATCGGGTAATCCCAAAATTGTGAAACTATTATGAAATTCTGGTGTGTACATGTCACTTTCACGATACAAACCAATATCCGAACTAACAATAACATCTAAACTGAGATACACGACTTCGTCACCAAGAACCAAACATAGCATTTATGCATTTATATGGCAAACCACATCTAAAGTAAGTGCAAGCATCCCTCTTTCTTGTAGGGAAGTTGGATATTAACTTTGTGCATTTTACCCGTACATAAAATGGTGTCTGAGTCCAAAATTCACATTAAGATTCTAGGGAATTTTTCACAAATGGACCAAAAATGAAAATAATATCACTTTTTTTCACTTTTCAAAATTTCTTTCAAAAATAGACTGAAAAGATTTGCATTTCAAAAATAGACCATGACCATAACGGAAGCCTGCCTACTTGTTAAGTAACGGAACAGATTGGAAGATGGAAACCCGTGCCAATTTTATGCTCTATAATTACACTTTCAAAATTTCATAAGTATAATACATTTAAGAGAAAAAAATAAAAACAAAAGGGAAAACTGTCAAATAGGTCCTCAAACTTTCATAAAAAAGTCAATTAAGTCCTTCTATAGGAGGTTCTGTCTGACCGTCGCGATTTGGGGCAGTTCCCGGTGGAATTGTTTGATGAAATGTTTTGAGCATCTTATTCACCAAGTCTAGTTTACTCATACCAAATTTCAGCTAAAAATTCAATCGGTAACACATTCAAATTAATTCTTGAAGATAACTGCGCATTTTTGCGTTCTCGAATTAATTTGAATGCCCTCCCGATTAAATTTTTAGCTGAAATTTGGTATGAGTAAACTAGACTTGATGAATAAGATCATCAAAAAATTTCATCAAAAACTTCCACCGGGAACCGCCCCAAATCGCAACGACCGGACAGAGTCTCCTATAGAAGGACTTAATTGATTTTTTTATGAAAGTTCGAGGATCTATTTGACAGTTTTCCCAAAACAAAATGATTTAAAGTTCAATCAAGATACTGAAACGAATTTCTATGCTCTCGAGAGCAGTTACAACTTTTTTTTGTAAAAGAGAGAGCACTTACAACTTTAAAAAGTTAAATAAAGTAATAAGTTATAACAATAAGAAACTACAAAAAGTAAAAACTTTAAAATTAAAAAAAAATGAAAAACATGTAAAATAAGAAACAAAACTTTTGGAACTATTTGAAAATATGAATAATAATTATAAGTCTTTTTTGAAAGAGTAATGATGGAGTAATGGGACT